AGGAAAGGAAGACCTTGAATGAGATGGATTGACACAGTGACTGTGGCAATGAAGTCAGGTGTGTCAAGATGGTGAGATTGGCTCAAGTTAGGGCAAGGTTTAGAAACACTGTCCACAGAGTCACCATGAGTCATAGTCAACTCAATGGCATATAACAATGACAATGAGCTTGAATATTGAGTATAATGCTTAAATCAACCTATGTAATAAAAGAATATCCACCCTGCAAGAAAAAGAATTACAGCACTTTCAACATGATTCTCAAAAATATGTTGAGTCATTAAAACTTACATAAAAAAGCATATATTCTATTTAGTGCCCAATTCTCTCACAATAATCTGCATAATGACATGATCTTTAAATCCAAATCATACTTGTAACTGAGCAATGGGGGGTACATAATATAAAATCTTGAATTCAATTTCCTTATGGCAAAATTGTTCTTATTTAAGTACTGAGACTTTTACTTGTCAATATAAATAGGTATCCACTGCTGTGGAGTCTATTCCAATGTATATCCACTGTCGTGTGTCCATTTCAACTGAAGACATTCAGGACAGAGTAGAATTGCACCATTAGAATAAAGATGTCTTTTAAGTAAAGAGAATGCAACATCTTTCTCCCAAAGGGTGGCTGGTGGTTTAGAGCCTCTAACCTTTTAATTAGCACCTTAGCCCTTAATCATTATGCCACCAGGGCTTCTAAAATGTACATACAAACCTTGTAGTTGTCTATGACAACGTCTCTCTAGATACCATTGAGATGGAACCAACTCATAATTGACTCTGCAATGGGTTTTCAGAGGCTGTAATTCACAAAGGAAACTGTCCATTTTTCTTCCACAGAGTAGTTGATGGATTTAATCCATCTGCCATTCAGGTTGGCAGCGCAACTCCTTACCACTAAGGACACCAGGGCTTGTTGGTTTTGTTTCTAAATACTGAACAAAATTAACATACTTTTCCTACTCACTACTACCATATAAAGGAGCTCTGGTGGCCTAGTGGCAGGAAGCTGCACTGCAATCACCAAGGTTCAAGGTTCAAATCCACCCAGACGCTCTTCTGGAGAAGGAGGAACAATCTCCTCCTGTACCAGTCAGATCCGATACACAAAAAAACTAAAAAGAAATTAAAAAAAGAAAAGAAACTACCATATAAACAAACATCATATAACATACTCTTCCCACCCACTCCGACGCCAAAATGCTACTTTAAAAAAAAAAACCCGAAACTACTAATATTATTAATTTTTCACAGTACAAATATTATACTATTTCTAGTTCTATTTTACTTGACTGCTCTCTTTATCTACTATTACATGATTGTTGTTGTGTACCACTGAGTAAGAAATGACTCATAGCTGACCTTCCAGTGGGTTTTCAGAGGCAATAAATTTCACAGGAGGAAATTTCCCATCTTTCTTCCACAGAGCAGCGGGAGGATTAGAATTGCATATCTTTATGTTAGCAGCACAAGATTCTTACAACTAAGCCATAAGAGGCACATCAGGGAAGTACCCTTTTCCCATACCTTTTCAATTTACATGCTGAACATTTCATTCAAGAGGCTAGACTTCATGAGACTTCATGAAGAAGAATGTGGCATCAGGATTGGAAGAAAATTCATCAATAATCTGCATTATGCAGATGACACAAACTTGCTTGATGAAAATGAGGAGGACATGAGGCACTTGCTACAGAAGATCAAGGATGGCAGCCTTCAATACAGACTATATTTCAACATTGTTGTTGTTGTTATGTGCTGTCGAGTCGATTGCGACTCGTAGCGACCCTATATACAACAGCCCTAAACCCTGCTCTATCCTGTGCCAATCTCATTGCCTCTGACACACCCATCCCGATTACCCCAGTCACTGAATCAATCCACCTCATA